TAAGTAAATAAAAAGAAGGGGTCAGAACTAGTTCCTAGGCCCCCGGAGCATCCCACATCCTCCGATTTTCACCCACGTGTAGGGTCTGGGAGAGCTGAAGAAGCCACGCCCCTAGCCTCAAGACCCCTCCCCCCAAAATCTGTCAAAAGCTGGGGTGCCTTTCCTTTACTCCAGGTCCCTTGCCGGAAGGAGCAAGATTTCTGAAAATGGGTGAGAGAGAGAGAGAGAGAGAGAGAGAATCCCCTCTTTTTGTTTTCCCATTGAATTCAGAGGAAAGTGTAGGTTTTCAGTTATTCCAGTGGTTTGCCTAGAGCAGTGGTTCTCAACCTTCTGGCCCTTTAAATACAACTCCTCATGCTGTGGTGACCCCCAACCATAACATTATTTTCGTGGCTACTTCATAACTGTCATGTTGCTACTGTGACAAATCGTCATGTAAATATCTGATATGCAGGATGGTCTTAGGCGACCCCTGTGAAAGGGTCGTTCGACCGCCAAAGGGGTCGCGACCCACAGGTTGAGAACCGCTGGCCTAGAGGCGCTTCCAGGTGCAAGAACTAATGGAAAAAGGGGGAGATGTGCTTAAAGGAAACAAACTCTGGGGCAGACAAGACCGCGATCATTGAGGCCCCCACCGCCCAGGTAAGAAATACCGCCCTGGACTCTCCGGGGCGGCCTCGGGCCCAGCAGGACGATGGGGGGCCCAGGACACACCAGCAGGCGGGTTCCCCTGAATGGGCCACGGGAAGCGCGCGCACCCTCAGGTTCTGGCATCTCCAGTCAGATGGGACCCGGAGGGACGACGGCCTGGCTGTTTAGGAGAAAAATCTCGAGGCCTATCTATCGCCGAGGAGATATGGCTGCTCGCCTGAGGGCTAGGAACCTGCGTCGTCGTTCGTGTTTGCTCGTCAAACTGTCAGTCATTTTTCCATTTCATAAAAAAAGAAAAAAGAATGCAAAAACCTGAATTCAGAAGCACCGACTCCTGAGCTTTTTCCAGAGGCGAAGGCCTTATCTCTAGGTCACTGTACCAGTATTTCTGGCCCGGACACCGAGCTTGGAAGCCGCCCCCCCCAAGTCAGCCCTGAGGGGTCCGCACTGCGGGGCGCCGAGCAACTGTTTCCAACCAAAGGTTTCCTCACCCGCCAATCGCGGGCCTCGGCCGCTTCAGAAAATCATAAACCCCTACGGGAGGTGAATGACACGAAGGCCAACCTATCGGCGTGGAGAAAGTGAGAGGGGGCGGGGTCAGAACTCACCAATAGTATTAAGGCAGTTGTTGTTAAGGGCAGAGAGACGCCTGCGAGTGTGCGTGAGGACGCTCGGGGGAGCAGGGAGGCGTGCCGGGAAGCGGGCTGAGCCAATGGCCGCGGTGGGCGG